AGAAGGGTAGTAAGGGTAAGATGAAGGTGAGAATATTGGGCACATGTGAGACTAGCATTAGATTCGGGAGCCTTCCCCCAAAGAGGTAATAAGGAAATCAACAAAAACGGATATTCTGCCCAATGGTAAGCAAGGGCATACTTATCAGAGGCTCTTGGGGGCATGGCATACTGATCCCTTCACCTAACTTGGAGAGAAAGTGATCCACATGGACCCAAATATCAGGAGAGACAGGAAATACCAAAAATGGTTGAGAAGAATGTTCAAGCAACAAAGAAGGATGAGGGGAAAAAAATAGGGGAAAGAGACAAAACATCACAAACCTGAGATACAAAATCTGTGAAAGCCAAGGAAGGCCTAGGTGAATCTTCAGGCTAGAATTGTGAAGGAATGGCAAACTTGGGAGGAATCTGAAGGAGCTTGGGTGACGTTAGGAGACAAAGGGTGACCCAAGTAGTATTCAATCTCCTGACTGACAAAACCAGAAACACCCACAGTCGGGTCACCCGCACCTGAGGCCTGAGATAGAAGATTGTTCATTGGTGTGACTCCCAAAGTGGTAACATTGACTTCTTAATTCATAACTCATGAAAACTGCACAAAATTGTCTAGTGCAGAAAAGCAATGATAAAAAACTGGGAGAAATGTGGTAATGTATAACGAAAAAAAAAAACAGAACCACATCAAACGAAAATCAAAAATATGTCACAAGGAAAGCATGAAGCACACAAGAAAATGTCTTTACTCAAAAGCTGCCATACGAGAAGTGAAGGTTCAATTGAAGAGTGTAGAGGGAGTCATATGAGCATACTATGCTACTATTAATTAACAGATAATGCATGATGATTTGCATGAGAGACATGCTGGACCGTACTAATTCCAACAAGGGGGAGCACAAGGCTTGTTGAATGCATAAAGAAAATGTTCACATATAGAGGGCAGTACTGAATGAGTGGAGGTAAGTACCACATTGGAACTATTTGGTAAGTTGGACAAATAAATGGCAAATGACTTTTCACTACAATAATTGCAAAGTAATGCATGTGGGTTATTATAATTTGAATTATAAGTATTATTTTTATGTCAATAATCTTAACAGCATTATGGATGAAAAGGTTCTTAATGTATTGATTGATTAGTCTATTATACCAATCAGGCAGTGTGTTATTGTTAGCAGTTGTCCAAAAAGGATTTTATATTGTATCTACAGAAATACTGAATACAAATTTAAAGAGGTTATAATTTCGTTGTATAGTTCACTGTTAGGCTTCATTTAGTGTATTGCAATTGTCTATTTTTATATGGGCTACGATTCTTTACAGTAGGTGTCTGTGACTTGTTGGCAATAAATTTCAACAGTAAACAGACAGCACACAATTCACTTCTCTTAGAATAATATATTCAAAACAAGTTACACACATGTTTAAAAAAAGTCTTTACACTATTGGTTATAACAGTTGTATCTAGAGCTTTAAATAACTGTGTTACGTCTCCGTTTGTTAATTAACTTTCTGTAACTTCGTTCCGACGAAACTTTAGCGCGACACAAGTCTTTACTTAATAAAACTGGTTTATTCTTTCCGAATATAACTCTGCGATACACTTAATCTCAATACTCGCGCTAAAACAACACTGTAACAACGAACGTCAATAATACTTCCGACTGCAGTTCAATTCCTCACTATCTACACACACATTACAATCCTTTCCGCGTCACGTTTTCCCCTCTTATATATATACCAGCCTAACCTACTAGTAAATACTAGAGCATTCGCCAAAGTACATGATAATTCTAGAAACGTTGCGTCACGTGGTCATGTGACTCGCTGACGCAACAATATGTACTAGTGCATGTAAACCTACACCCGATGCTGTACATAATGTGTATTAAATTATACATATGTACTAGTGCATGTAAACCTACACCCGATGCTGTACATAATGTGTATTAAATTATA